CATGTCTTCCACTGTAATTTCCCAAAAAAACTCACAAGACTGGAATCACTTGCTTTTTATTTCCAGATTCAAATAAGAATGCCACACAGTGGAGAATGGCCCTTAGCTTCAGTGGTGGCTGTGCTGAGGGCCAGATGCAGAACAAGGAAGAAGTGGTAGTTACTTTGACCCTGGGAAGACTAATTAGTGGGGGACAGCTAAAGATAAGTTCCTTCAGGTCTCTTCCCACGGTGGTTTATCTTGAGGTGCTGTGGTTCTTAGAACATGTACCGAGCCAGTGGCTGTTTTTTGTTCTGCACTGGCAGCTGGTAAGGCAGCCACAGTCTTGTATCTTCTTTCCATTCTTCCTCATTTAACTTCTCCATTTTTAATTTTTTTATTGTCACTGACCTGCAGTTGTGCCTCCTCAAAAATGCACCCCTACATACTCTCAGCCTGGATTCCATAAGAAAACAAACAAGACACTAAGTGAAACAGAGCCAAGACAAAGGCAGTGCTTTCCAGAATTGAATGTTCCTACCCAATGTTGGAACCCCTCAGTGGTGGAGTTGCTCTGTGAAACATCAGAGAAGAGATATTTTGAGTAGAGAGAAATAGGTAATCCTAATATTGTTGTGTTGTTCTTTTGCTGTCAAAACAAAGTCGATGTCATTAAAATCTAAGTGGATCCTGAGGAGAAATCCCCAGGATGCTACAGTTTTCCTTCTGTTTCCATTTCTTTCACAAATTGGCTCAGTGCCATGTGCACTATTGAGAGGCAATGAATTTAAAGACAATGCAAAGAAGTCTGCAGCCACTGGGGGCTGATTTTCCTCAAAGGAATTCAGAATGTTGATGATGATGAGAGCATTGTGAAACATTCGTTGCAAAAAAGAGCGCTGACCTCCTCTGTGGCTTGGCCAGATGGAGACCAGAAGTTATGAGGCTCTACCAGGCTTGAGTGTTACTAACGTGTGCGCCTGAAAATCTGACTCACCACTAGTGACGTGTGTCATCGTTCTCACAATTAGTACTGATGGCTCCTGTCAACTTGTCTGTAGCTATTAAGTTGGGTGCAGGGATAACTGGTTCTTATTTTATGCTTGTAGAAATGGCCTCAATTTTCTTTTCTGTCTGATTAGTTTTAGCATCTGGATTTCTTCTTGGTGTGCTCGTTACAGGGGCCGGCTGTCTTTGCCCTTCTCCCTCACATCTGGAATCTAGCCAAAATGCACCAGAACAAGATGCTCCTAACATCTGAACCCTTTTGTAAGCGTTCTGATTGCAACTTGGATAGCTTCAGCTTAATCCAAGGTGGAAGCTTTCTGGTACTTTTGGGGAGGGGATATAAATGTCTAAAAATAAAACTGAGGCATAAAAATAGGGCCAACTACTCATTAACTGCCTCACTTAGCTGAATGTTGAAATTATTTCAACAGTGCTAAATCAAGCCTTTGTGTAGAAGAGGTTGAGTATATATATTTTTATTCATAGTACTTTATCTTAGATGATAAGTGGGTTACTGTCATTCGTCATTTTATTCCAAATTCATGAATTAAATAGTTTCAAGGACTCAATTTTCAGCTCAGGCTGACCTTTGAATTGAAGTGCCTGTATACATGAATCTTTGAGGATGTATGTCATGGGATGCTGTGAGAGAGACTGAAAAAGCAGACAGAATCAGGAACCAGAGTATGTAAAGCTTGATAGATTAGGGAAGAAGTTTGTATCTTACTGAGTGGGGTAGGAAGCTACTGCAGGGATTTAATTAGGATAATAGAGTGACTTATGTGTTTTAAAAATATAGCTCTTGACAATGGTGTTGATGGTAGATTATCAGGAAGTAAGAGTAGAGAACTGTCACCAGCCTGATGTCTATTTTTAGATACACGTGCAAGAGATTACAGTAGCCTTGGGGCATCATGGTAGCTGTGAGGTTGGAAAGAAGCAGATAAGTAAAAATAAATTAATAGGTTAGATACGGGGCATGTAGGAATGGGGAAATCAAGGTTAATTTTCTGACCTGAGTTGGAAAATTTGGCCCCCTTTATTTGGATGAAGATGGCAAGAAGACCGTGGGATTTTCTGTCCTCTTGCTTTGTTTGAGGTGGGGTACAAAGCAACAGAAAGGCAATGAAGCAGGAATTGGGGTTCTTGTTAACCTCATGGTGTGCATAGGGAAACACAAGCAAGTGAACAGTACAACATATGACCTCAAGGACTTTGAGACTCCTTGGCATATAGATGGAGCATGGCGGGACTCATCCAGAGAGAAAGTAGGAAGAAAATAGTGGGACTGGGGAGGTCCTATATTGTAAATAGGGCAGGCAGGAGAGAACCAAAAGAGGAAAAGGAAGAACGCATGGAAACAGAAAACTTGGAGAATGAGGAAACCATGAGCAGAATTTTACAAGAGCAAAGCAGCAGACCAGTGTGTTGAGCACCACTGTGAGGTTGAGATGACAAATGATATCAGTGGTTCCAGCAGTGCAGAGATTCTTGGTGACAATGACAATGGAAGATTTTGATATGTCTTTCAAATAAGAGCCTTAAATGGATTGAAGGAAGATTGTAAAGAAGAAAGTGGGGGTAATCATTTTTAGAGTAATGGAGCTTAAGAATAGGTAGATATAAAATCAAGAGTCAAAGGGGAATCTGAGTGCTTTTTCTCATTTTTTAAAGATGTGCAATATCAGAATATTCATGATTATGGAATTGGTCTAGCAGAAAGAAGTTGGTTATACAGTGAGAAAGGATACAATGGGAGAGACATATTTCTTGAGTTCAAAAGTGTTTGGGATCTTCCCAGGTTCCTTTTGTCCATCTCAGACAGAGCTTTCTTTCTTTCAACAAATTCTTCTTATCCTTAAAAAAATGTGTGGGTTGCAGATCTCAGTGCAGGGCTTAGCCTGGGCTAGGAGCGTGTCTAGAGACCTAGAGTGGACACCACTGTGAGTAGGCTTGCTGGACTGGGCTGGGAGAAAGAAGCAGAGCTCATAACTACTCGAAACTAGTGAAACAAGATCATCAGTGGAAAGGGAAATTGAAGAGAGATGCTGTAGCTTGCAAGAGAAGCCAGAATTCACTGGAGGCCTTATGAAGAGGGCCACGTAAGCCTGTGTGAGAGTGGGCAGCACCAAGACGTGTCCCAAGATTATGTGAAACAAGGGAGATTTCAGGTCAGTTTTGCTTGGAAAGAGGCTGAGATTAAATTTTAGTTTTTTATATGGCCTATAAAAATCAAAAGTATTATTGAATATTTATATATTTTCACAGTAGAAAGATGTGTTTAGGGCTAGGGTACCACACGCTATGCAAGCCCTGGAACTCCAGGCCCAGAAAACACCAGCCATTGTGACACATGCCTGTAACCCCAGAGCTCAGGAGGCTGAGACAGGAGGATCACTACAAGTTCGAGCTGCATAGCAAGACCCTGTACCAAATAAATAAATAAAAGATGAAAAAAAGAAGAAAGAAAAATAAGTTTATCAATTACTTGTAATCTCTTTCAGAAATAATTGTTGTGGTGCATATTCTTTCATGTATTATACATGAAAGTGCATTTATAGTAAGAAATATAAAATTATTTTGATAACTTAGTATTTTACAATGATGTTACTTTGAGCTGGACTAGGTGTTACATGCCTGTGATCACACTACTCAGGAGGCTGAGACAGGAGGATCATTGAAAGTGAGACCACTCTGGGGTACAAAGGGAGCTCAAGGCCAGCCTGAAGTATATAGTGAGACCCTGTCTCAAAAAGATAAAAAAATTATTTTATAAAATATTTTGTATATTGCTGTAAAATGGATGGAAACTAGTAAAGTTTTCCCTACTTATATTTAATTTGTTTGGACAATTTCAGATATTTCTATAGGCATATCTATAAGCAAAATGTAGTCTTGTTGAAAGATCATCTCTTCAGGTTATACATTTAATTATTTTCTTTTGATATTTAAAGTGTAAAAATAAAATCACAAATTATTAACCTACTGGGTTTTATTTTGGTGAAGGAGTCTAATCTTACCTTTTAGGGTGTTTTAAACATTCTACCATCTCACACCTCACACTGAATTTAGAACATATTTTTTCCAGTACTAGAACTGCGAAGTGATTTCTCTAAAATATTCTTTTAGGGATTTTTCAAACAAATTATATGATATTCTTTTTAAAAGCTATTTATTGAAGAGTAACAATTAACTATAATCCCATCATCCAAGAAAAAACTGTTATATTTTACTTGTTACTTCACTGTTTTTTCTGTTTTGCAATATTCTCTCTCTCTCTCTCTCTCTCTCTCTCTCTCTCTCTCTCTCTCTCTCTCTCTCTCCCTCTCTCCCTCTTGCCCACCTCCTTTCTCCCTTCCCCTCTTGCTCTCCTTCTCCCACTTCTGCTGTCTCACTGTCTTATTTTTGAAAAGCCTTTTGCAAATCATGACCTTAGCATTTTCACTAGTGCTGTGTATTTATGGGTACATTTCAAAGTTTCAGTTGTTCTTTATATGTGTGATGATAAATAAAGCCATAGCTAACATCACTGGCACTTGAATTAATGTTTGGCACATTTCACTATAAAAGCAATGTGTATCCATTGTAGAATGCTTCATAAATAATAGAAACCAATCCAGAGAACCACTGGTGAGCAAATGTCAAGTCCATTCATTCAATAGCCGTTGTCTGCCCCTATCGTACATCAGGCCCTGCTCCAGAGGTGAGACCTGCTCTTCCAAGTCAGCATCTAGACTACACTTAGTGATGGACCCTGATAGTGTTCTATGTGGAGAAGGTGTGGGTTCCTTTGCAAATGGACTATATTATTTAAAATTGTGTTATAGTCTCCTATAATAAGTTAAGAACTGTCATACCACTGAATTTTTACAGTATCATGTTTAGTGGCTACAGAATAATTATTTTTGTGAATGTGCAATAGTTTAATCTCACAGACTCAGACACTGTAAATCTTTTTCAGTTGCTTTTTTATTTCAAATCCATAACGTGCGTTCTCTGCCTCTCTTTGACAGCATACTATGACCTTCACAAGACATGAAGGAACAAGCAGTGCTGTCTTTCCTTCTCATTCTCATCCAGTCTGTCTGTGCATTTAAAGGTAATTTCTAATACAAGAGCTAGTTATTTGTATCATTAGATAGTCACAAGACCATAAAATACAAAGTGGCTTCAGATAGCACGTTCACAATAAAAATGCTCCAGAATCTAGAAAGTTTTAGGTGATAACATGATGGTGCCAGTGGCAAATTCCACACCTGATCTCATCTGACAGGTCAATCAAAATGCAAGAGCACTGACAATATTGTACAAAGTTCCCTTCAGACCATTTGTATAAGGTGCATATGAAGCATGAATTATTTTATGCCTAGATTAGACTTGGACCACATGTATAAATTGCAAAATACTTCTAGTTCCAAACATTTCAGATAAGAAATGTCCAGCTGTATTTCTCTGCAGCCAAAGTATTGTGAGCTTTCCTAAGCGATCAGTTCATGAGAAATAGGGAAAAGGGTAGAAGTCTACACAAAGACTAGAAATTATATTTTCTTCTGTTCATTTTGATTAAGGGTTTTATATTTTGTTATCTACTGCAAGAAATGAAATCACACGAAAGGCAAGTTTAATTTATTACATGGAAACTTTGAATCTACCACCTAACAGAAGATATTACAAGCTTTGTTAAGTCCTGTGACAGGCATTTTTAATTATCCAAAGAAATATCAGAGGGGTATGGTGGACAGTCGGGGAAGCTGATTTTCACTGCTTTCTTTCTCATCTTTCCATGCATTCCTCTCATTACAATACACATCCTCTTAGATCTCTTCCAAGAAACTAAATCTCCCTGAAGAAGACAGAAGGGCTATCACATAGTGGAAAGAGCCAAAAGGAGCAAGCAGGGGTAAAAGCCTGTGGCAGAGCCACTTGAGTTCCTTATTCTTCCATCTTGGGTGTCCTTGGCCAAGGTCCAAAGGAGTTTATTCATATTTTTTATAAAGCACTAAACTTTCTCATCTTAACTACTTATATACCAAAGAGAAACAAAATATCTACTTAAAGTGTTTTCTGAATTGGTCAAATAAACTAGATATTCTTTATAATATAAAGTGACCAGGTATGTTTTCTTTGCAAAAAATTTAGTCACACTGAATTCATTTGCGTTTTGAAATTAACTTCTGAAATTGACAGTACACAACAGAAGCACTTAAATCAGGAGGATTGGTGTTCCACATTTTTATTCAGAATTTTTTTTTTAACTCTTGGTTTGACTGACTTATAGCACATCTAGTGAGTGGTCCGAAATTCATTTCTTCTTTTAGGCTTCTCCTGTCTACATACTCCCCTGCTTGAGACTAGCATCTAGATATTTCTAACAGATTATTGACCCTAGCATTTTCCTTACATATATTTCCTAACTAAATATTTTGTGACCCCATCAATAAGTCTGTCATTCTTTGGGGGCCTTCTGACTATGATAACTGGATAAACTACTTATTGTTTTAATGGGTATAAAATGAATGTGCTCTACAATTGAAAGCCAACAGGCGCCTTTACCATGAGTATTACCAGTACTGCAGCCTTCCGGGATCAGAAGCTAGAGAAGACTACTGATCAAGTGGTAGCAAGCTGGTGTATCTGTTCTTTGGACTGTTGCCAATCCTCACAGTTGCATTGAATACAACAGATACTCAATTAAAACTGAAGAAACTCAAACACAGAGCTCTATGGTATCTTATCTTTCTAATAATTAGAAAGGCAGATCTGTTAATGATCAGATTGCTCAGCTAGGAGGTTCCTTTAGATAGCTGTATATAATTCTCAATAGGCACTCACCACCAATTCTTTTCATAATGTCTCTGCTCTTGATTTTAGATACACCCTTTTCAGTTTTCTTCAACCATCATCGTAGTGCAAATGACAAGATTGTCATTGGAAGATATGGTGAAGATATAATTCTCCCTTGCTCATTTCAGAATGAGCCTGATGTTGTAATTCACTGGAAGAACCAAGATAACTCCAATGTTCACAGTTACTACAGAGGCAGTGACCATTTGGAAAACCAAGATCCTAAATTTGCAAACAGGACCTTTCTATTCCACAGCAAGATTCAAAATGGGAATGCCTCTCTATACTTCAGAAGGCTAAGCCTTCTGGATGAAGGAATTTACATCTGCTACGTGGGAACAGCAGTTGGACAGGTCACAAAGAAAGTGGTGCTAAAGGTGGGAGGTGAGTGACCATGTAAGCAAGATTTCACCAAAATTCGTATCATTCAATGTCATTCAAACAGGTCAATTCCTACAAATCTAGCTCATTTTTATAGCACAAACTATCTCATACATAGCATGACTATAATAAACATATCCATAAGCCTTGACTGCTATTCATGAATTTCCAGTGTTTTTCAGTACAAAAAATTTTGTGACTAGCATCTTCATAGCTACATTTAACACTAGGAAATTATATGAAATAAAATTACCAGAGTAGAATTTTAATATGTTAATGACACCAGAAGCATAAGAATACTCATTTTTCTTTTAGTTCAATCAGCACTGAATATTATTGAGCTTAAAATTTTCTGCCAATATAATGACTAAAATATTAATTTTTTATTCAAATTGATTCTT